GGCCCTTGCCCTTCATCAAGGACCCTGACGAACACGCTTTTCTTCTCGACATGCCGGTATTTGCAGCCCTCCGCGACGAAAACGACGGACCATTTCGCTTCCGTCCGGCCGTTATAACAAATCTGGTTACGGCATGCCAATCCTGCCAGATTATTTACGTTAAAACGGAGATTGGCAAAACGGACAGCGTTTCACTCAAGGCTCGCGAGGAACTGGTGGACAAATGCCAAATCGTAGTCCAGCTTCCGGTCAGCGAGCAACCACTGCTGTGCCGCGTCGACGGGCTGATGTACCGGAAACTCTTCATTCCCTTTGACAAAGCGCAATATATTTTTAGCGACGCCTCCGATCGATCGAGGGTCATCAAGCATTTTCGCGATACGATGAAACGCGATGCGCGACTGTTCGCTTTATCGGATTGCTGTCGATTCCATCTTCGAATTCAACGCGATGGATGCATGTTCGTGGTCATCAGTTTATCGGCAGATTTCGAGACGGCGCAGTGGATGGCTACATCACTGTCGCAAATGCTGCTGACCCATCTAGACACCCAAGCTGACCTGCCGCCGTTTTTCAAAACCGATCTTAGCGACAATAAAGAGCTCTTCTATGAATCCGGTAATTTAGTTTCGGAACACAACATCATGTTGCCAATTTAGTATTCGTTGACAGAACAGCACAGTATAAAACAGTATTTACGTGCCGGTTTGCTTTCAACGAAATTCCGGGAGTGGTACCTGGCCTGAACTGGTTTCTGTAAAAAAGAAACAACGAACTATATCTGGTAGTTTATATAGCATTCTAGGAGTATTTATAAAGACTTTCATAAAATACTGGTATATACTGTATAATTATGGATCCCATTGTTACCTACCTACTGTAATATACATAATAACTTATGCTGCATTACGCACTGACTTCTACTGGTCTCAATAATAATGTCATTCTCTTCTTGCAGACCTAAAAACGGACCGGCTGAACGAAGGCGCCTCTTTTAATAATCTTCCGCCCATCCTTTTGAGTGAAATCTTTTCTTTTTTAGATCTGCATTTATGTGCAAAGATTAAAAGGTAAAGAGCTTCGCAACCGCCTTCACTGCGTAGTGCGCATCTAGCTTGGCACATCCAACCAGATTTAAAAGGACAGCAACCGTACTTTATAGTGTATGTAGTGTTAGATTTTTAAGTCAAGGCTTATACGGTGACACGAATGTAGGACTCTTCTTTCATATAATAATGCATACGTTCGTAGCGGCGAAGATCGAGCACTGGTTACTAACGCAGCGTTTGTTTTATTGACATTAATTTGTGACTTCATGTTATCACAGAGTGTGTGCTTTGTGGCAGCAACTCCTAAGCACTCGTCGCGCAACCGAGGACATCGAAGTCTGTTTGGAAACATGTACCAAAGAAACGAAATCCGATAACTTCAACTGCTTCAAAGGAGCGTCTCTTCTGAACCGTACCGTCTGCTCAACGACAAAGAGCCTGACTATACTGAAACCTTTCGCAAACAAATACTTTTGTGTGATTTGTTGGAAGCCATGCAGATCCAGTTGCCTACATTAATTTTTAAAGATTATTCTATTACCCACCCCGGTAACCCATATGGATATCCTTGGTTGTCAAACCCTGAGGACAAAACGTTTTACGCGAACCATGGTGCAACAATATGGTTATTTTTTTACCAGAACAGCAGGCAACGCATCATGTTGCACAACTGGAAACTGAAGAACATTTTTGGACCGGCCCTGTATCAGATATTTTTTAATCCTTATGTAACGAAGCTCAAACTTCTGCCGGCGGATGAAGTTAAGTGGTTGAAAGCTGTCACCCCCGAGTCGAGGTTCGACGTGCTGGAGATTGATAAAATCCAAATCACCATTCCGAAGCTGGTTTTTGACTGCAGCCAAAATTTTGAGAGTGTGGCCAGCAAATACATGGGCGTTGGACAATAATTTCCCACCGGTTGCGGACGAAGTTTACGCAACGGTCAAGGCTGTCCATGCACGATGGGTGCAGACACTCGCTTACCCGCACGAATGGGAAAGTATTCGGGCATGTCTAACAGTGTACGTTTATTTTCAGATTGCAGGGTGATTAATTTCGGTGTGCTTAATCCAGCTTTGAAACAGCACAACAAAAATATCTGCGTCAGTATTAACAGTGCAGGAAATGGTATTGTTTCTTCACAGGTTTAGCGGATTTCACGAAGACGGACAACGAGATCATGGAAAGAGTTGATCTTAGACTTCTGACGTGGACAAGCTGAGCAGAATGGCTCTGCTTGGATTCAACGAGATGTTTCACGTGTGATAGCTGTGCTGTAGTATAAATAGCATTGCGTAGTGTTTTCACAAAAAGAGTCAAACGACCACGCTCTAAAGCCGTCAGCCGTTTTCGTAGTGAAAAGTAGTGACAACGGCCTTGTGTAGGGTAATGTAGCGGCATTAGCATTCGCCTAAATCAGCTGTTCGAAACCAAACTTTTGTTACTGGATGCTGACAGTGAAGGGAACAATTTTAATTAAATCTTAATTACAGTACAGTTGAGTTAACGATGTGATTGAATTTCCTTAGAGTGTATCATTTCGTATTAAGAATTATCACGATATAGTGTAGTGATCATTAAGAGATAATTCTTACGATGTAAAGGAATTCTGATGATGTAACAGCGAGGTCATCCGGTGTCAGGCGAAGTACCTGCCTACTTTGAAGCCAACGTTCTGCTATAGATACACAATCTGATGTTTCTAAAGCGCAGATGGAGAGATGTCTCTGCTGAAGCACGAGTAAATATCAATTTGTATAGACTCGTAACACTTTCTTTAATTAATTTGGCGTTACTGGAATTTAACTGGACAGCCGATTATAATTATTGACGCGCTCTATTCCCGGTGTACCGTTTGTATAACGGGAGTATCCCGGACCTTCGTTCCGCATTCCGCAACTAGTGATTTTTATTCATTTAGATTCATGCATTCCTTTTTTTCTCGACGCCGGTTAATCGGTGGTGTGTCGGTTGCCATTTTTTTCGATATACGTGCAGCGTATACTGGTCTTTATTGATCGGCCGAGATGTGTGTTTGCTCCAGCGAATACTTCTCGACAGGAAAAGGGAGAGTAAGACAATTAAATAATTAATCATCGCCTCGGCTTGCGGCTCATTCAACCAGGAAATATGGTAACCACAGGCTCGCAGATCAGAGAGAGAGAGAAAATCCCTGATTTGTGGGCGGTTTAGTTCCGCGTTATTTGCGCTCATGAGGATGACGGACAGGAGTGGTGTAATTAAATATTGACGCACTGTAAAGCGGCAGATTCAACGCCGCTTCCGTATCTACAATTTAAGCCGTTCTTTTACAAATCCTCGACGCACTTCCTGTGTTTCTTATCCATAATTCGCCGCCGAGTTTTTCTCCAGTTAATGTAATAAAAAATATTATCATACCGGCACCTTTGCTTGATAACTTTCCCGGAAGCTGTGGTATTTGATTATCTCCCGAAATACAGTAATTCCATGAAGATGGCGAATTACGATTTGATTTGTATTTGCGGGTAATTTGTTTCCTAAGCTGTTGTCAACCTATCCTGAGTAATCCGCGCGCCCGGCTTTCCCCTATTCTCCAGCAACTGCAGACGCACACCGGCTACGCCGCCGCCCCGGCGGATGCGGGCTACAGTGACCTTTTAGTGGAGAACGACGGAGAAGTGCCCTTTCTGGCGCCACATCTGGATGCCGAACCGGCGCGTTATCTGCAGGAGATGCAGCGGAAACGCGCCGAGGCCAGGCGGCTCGATTTCCGCACACAGGGATGGTAATACACCGCGGACCATCTTTGTATCATCGTCCCGCTGTACAAAATAATCATGGGATTTTTTAAAAATTTATACCGGACCAGTGCTTTTCGATAACACACTTCAATGCTCGAAAATAATCAATTTGTTTAATAATACAAAATGTGCTTATATGCACTGGGTTGGCATTATACGAGCAGCGAAGGATAGTTTACGTTTTTTTATAATTATTATCATATTACATAAAGCAAAGCGTACCTTGCGCCTCATTGTAGCATCTCTGGATTTGACTGGCGTTTTGTGAAAGGATTTTTCAAACCGATTTGACAATCCTTTATATACGGTACATATTGGTTTTTCTGCAGAAGATATACGAGTATATGTGACCTTTGTTATAATACCTATCCAAATACATGCCGCAATTTTGCCGTCTCTTCTGATCAAATAAACGATGTTATACTAGATTGATTAAAGTGATGTTATTCATGTGTTTTATGGCGACGCAATATCGATGGTCGCTCTTGTTAATTTCTTTTTTAATGTGTCTTCGCGCGGTAGCGTGCTTGCTTTTTGGCATCGTTGCTAGCTTTTTCGATGGGATAAAGTTTGTATTAAAAATTCTCCCTCGATTAAACGGCGTCTGTTTTAGAGTACACCAAACTGCCAAATGGACGGGCAAAATAACTGAACGATTTCGATACGATATATCTGTACATACAGAAATACATCGCGTTGCATGTATAATTATATACGCACAATCAGCTTACGTAAACTGTCAATAGACACCAGATTAATGAGAATCCGAATGATTCTACAAAATGCAACTAGATAACGTCTAGAGCAGCTTATATGTTGAGTTATTAAGAATCATTTGCATTGTAAATCACAAAAGTATCGCACGTTATAATATTGTAAATATCCGGTTATAATACACAAATGATTATGTATGGAGCAAAACAGGTCCGCGTTGAATATGTTTATGGAAATGTGCTCTAGTTTCACTACCGTGTTTATTACGAGAGAAGAACAATTACATAGAACCAGGTGACTAAAGGGTACGTGTTCCGTGAAACTGCAGTGTTTCTCCTCGGCGCAGCATGCATTCCAAATGCCTGGGCGAACATTGCACAGCGCCAACTAGAAACCGGCTCGGAAAGGTCCCACTGCGAATGGCGGGATTACAAAAGTATAAAAGCGGGCATGGAGCGTGATCACGGCACACGTTGCTGACGGCTGCTCTCCTTGGTGTCTTGTTGCTACAGTATTAACTGTATAATCAGTTTATTGTTGTTGTAATTATTAGTAAATCTATAATAAAGTTACCATGAAACTGTATCTTGTCCTGCTAGCGTTGGCCATGGTTTTATTGCGCGGTATGTACGAGTACTTATCACCCTATTTGCAATGCCCTGAATAAGTTTACATTAACTCTATTAGTAATTTATTTTAATTCTAATTTTGATTGGATGACAAATTAGTAATTACTCTAAATTGCAGTTATAATTATTCAAGAATTTATGCACCATTGCTTGATCAATATTACATAACTCCATTGTATTATACTGTTGATTGCTATATAGTCATCATGTAACGTTTCACAAATTCAGTTTGTTTCAGCACCACAATGTATACAATATACACGTATGTTTTCAATAAACTGTAATTCCGATTAAATTAATGTCATTATAGAGACACCACGATGCTCGGCAGCCGTTGCCGCATCCGGTAAAGCGGCCACATCATCCAGCGATGAGGAAGTGGAGGACGACGACACCGAACAGTCAGCAGCGCCGGCGCCCGCCCCAGCCCCGGCCCCCTCCGCCGGCAAGAAGCCCAGCGCGGACGGCGGCGACGACGATGACAGCGGCGGCTATGGACCGGTAAAGAAGACCCCGGCGCCCACCACGACCACCACTACAACGACAACCACCACGACGACGACCACCACCAAGAAGCCCTCCACGCCCAAGAAGCAGCGCCCGCCCGGCTACGATCTCATCAACACCGAGGTCACCGAAAGCACCTTTAAGCTGACGCGGCCGCCGGCTAAACGCGGCCGGACCGTCTTTGACAGGAGATAAAGGCCACACTGGTGCATTAGTATTACTGTATCGTACCGTGCTATCATTTGCCGTTAGACAGTTTTACATGGCATAAGAACTTTGACCGTCGTAAAGAATTGAATTCGCCTTCAGTGTAATAAAGAACCGGAAGGAAAGGAAAAATGAATTGAATAACTTAAAAAACTTGAGATTCGTCGTTTTATTTAATCCACATTTCTAATCACTTTCGTAAAACTCACGGTGTTCGTTATTTACCCATACTTTTTGCACATTTAGTGCTTCTGGATATTTTCGTAAAATTGTAAGTGTCCATTTCACTGGCTTAGTGTTAGTCGAATTATACAAAAAGAAATAAAACTATTTTTTGCCGCATTAAACTAATTCAGTTGATGCTCTGGTGTGAAACCGGTGATAGTATCCCTCGTACAGTACATTACTAAATTATACAGAATAATGCGGATGTCGTATTATTTGCATGCTTAATTGGTAAATTTGTCAATAATAAAATTCGCTATGAATTTACTATGAAATGGCAGTCTTGATCTTATATAATCACCACCGTCTGCTTGATCGTTCTACGTATAAGTGGCATGAAGGGCCTTCCGGCGCTCAGACATTACTCGTTAAATTAACACGTCTGAATGGCACTGCATTAATGTTTAAGAGAAAATAATTATCTGAACCGCAGCCAGAAAAAAAGCGCTCTATATTCATACAGCGGTTGATTCATATTTTGACACGGCCGTTCAACGCCAGCCAACCGGCATTCGTTCGACCTGGATACACGTAACATTTCCAGGTCAAGTTCCCGCTTTGATGCAGCGTATACTGTGCAGTTTTATACACGGTTATTTAACGCTTTATACAGCGTACATATATATTAGTACGCATACAGTAATTGCGGCAATTATCATCACAATACGGAAACTGCTCAGACTAGAAGCCGCACTACTGTCTACCGTAGTACATACAACACTGCACTTCCGCAGTCTATTGTACAATTATTCACAAAAACACAAATCAGGAAATAGAATTTAGAAAACGGGGAAACGGAGAAATTTGCGGGAAAGGCAGACAAGCAAACAATTCATGTAAGAAGTTGGCCAACGGAGAATCCAAACGGCCAACCCGGCAAATGCCGGCAGACAAAAATCAGTGAAACCTGTCATGGGTATATAAAAAATGGTTACTGAAAATCCGCAGAAATCGACAAATTATTTCCCTTTCATTCTATTTGCTTTCTCCATTCTCCGTAGTCCGATACCAAAGCACAACCATGAAGATCTATTTGGCACTTTTTGCTCTGTTCCTCTTCTTTTTATACGGTAAGCAGCGAGAATAAATTTGGCCAGTGCTTCGAACAGAAGGTACAGACGCATAAGTAAAGTGTAATTAAAACATTTTAAGCAAGTGCTAATTTTATAACAATTATTAAACGAAAAATTAAATAAGGTAATTAAATTGCTACTATTTATACCAACTTTTTGCAAGAGCAGTCCTGAGTACTATGTAATTTAACAATTTTCCGAGTCTTAGCAAAATGCAACGGTTATTTTTCCAACCATAATCTTAGCACACGCTGTTTCCTATACGACGAGCATGGATGATATATATAATTGTTACAGTTTTGCAAAAAGGTGGATTCTATTAATTTCGTATGGAAATGTGTAATTGATCTCAAGAACAAGAACGGTTGTTTAGTAAAGAACAATATTTATGTGTTATTTGCAGAAGTTCCTAGTGCCTCCTCGGCCAAATTAAACCCCCGCACCGCCAACCGTCACCCGCACCCAGCTCGCCCGGTCCGTCAAGCCAAGCCTGCCGCGGCGGACGATGAGGACGCCGGTGATGATGAGGAGGAAGCGGACCAGCCGGCCGCTAAACCGGTGTCGTCCAAGTCATCGGCCAAGGCCTCCGGAGCCTCGGTGAAAGTCAGTGGCAAGGCCAGCGCGTCGTCCAGCAGCAGCGATGACGACGGTGCGTCCGGTTACGCAAAACCCACGAAACCAACTACCACCACGACCACCACCACCACGACGAAGAAACGACGCCCGGGCTACGAACTGGAGAACACCGGGGTCACCGAGGCTATCTTCCGGCCTAAGGTGCCCAAGGGACGTACCGCCTTCGACCGGAAGTAAAGAATGAATGAAATATTGTGTTATAACGTTCCTAAATAACCGAACGGAAAATTGTTGATGAATGTGTGTTAAATTGTTAACGTTCCTATACGACAGTTGTTACGTTGATCTTGTTAACGGCCACTTGTCCGTTCAGCAGAAAAAGCGCTATGTACCGATCGTTAAGTGTTTAACGAAGAGAAGCAAAAGAATTTTATGCACATGTACTGGATACGTTAATATTCATGCACGCTTACACAATTCTTTGCCGGTAATCACGCATTACACAATCTCTTGTGTATACACTGCATTAACCGTAGTTGTCGTTGTACGCATAGCAAGGAAGTAAGGGCTGTCGTTACACGGTGCTTATGCTCTTTTGAAAGCGTTTTACACGCTGGACACCCACACTTCCGCGGACCTCTCACAGTGCGCATGCATACAGAGAAAAAGAAGGAAATATAATTATAATAACTGTGCACTTAACTAAGCTTTATTAAAATAAGCGGTAATAACGATTTGGCCAGTGGTTTATCCAGAAACTATATTACTTTTTGCCAGCATATAATGAGGTGCGAGAATCTAAGGTATATATAAGGTTAAGCCGCGACGTTTAGATATCAGATTAAGCATTTCTGCTCTCTTGTGATTTCTTCTAAAGTTCCTTCCGCTCAACCCTCAACCGCCAACCATGAAGGTGTACCTGGCTCTCTTGGCTCTTGCCCTTTGCGTTTTATACGGTAGGTTCTACATAATAACCGAGCGAAGCAATCTCCTGCCATATACCGGCATAGAAAAATTCACAACACATTTGTGTAATTTTATCGACACATTTTTATTATTTTTTCTAATATTTTTATAGATGTGACTGACTTTTATTTACAGCAGCCTACCGAGTAAATTGATTTTCTATTCTCACCTGGTATTTTTTGTTAATATGATTATTATTACTATCTGTTAATATTTCATGGAAGTTTTATTACTGTTATCGTATTTTATTGGGTGGCACAAATGAACATTGGTTAAACGCTAAATCAAGCAGTCCCAGTGCATTATTTCAACACATAATATACTTCATCCAGCCTCCTCCCGATGCAGAAGGTTTCCTGAACGCATGCAGCATTACTGTCATTATTCATTCTTATATTTTATTGTAACTATTTGTAATCTGTTGCTTGTTTTACAGATGCCCGATTACATCCGCTGCTAAACTGAGCTGCGCGCTACGCTCGTCAAGCCAAACCCGCCGACGACGAGGACGCCGGTGAGGACGAGCCGGACGACGCGGCCGCCTCCAAGCCGGCCTCCGCCAAGGGCTCCGCGTCCGCCTCGGGATCGGCCTCCTCTTCCGGGTCATCCAGCAGTTCTTCGTCGTCGTCCTCCGGTGGCGATGATGACAGCGCCTCCGGCTACGGACCCAAACCCACCAAACCGACCACCACAACAACGACCACAACGACGACCACCACCACGACGCAGAAGCCGTCCACGAAACGACCCCGCCCCGGCTACGAGCTGATCAACACCGGTGTCACGGAGGCCATCTTCCGGCCCAAGCCGCGCGGCCGCACCGCCTTCGACCGGAAGTGAACGTAGTCGCGATCCATCGTTGTTGGCGTTTGTTAAAGATGTGCTTATTTCTTTATGGGATATAGAAAATTGGTTGGATTATGTAACAAATGGTATTATCAATCGCTGCGCTCAAATTAATTAAAACGGAATTAAATTCTCCGATGTGCCGAAACGGGCAGCGTAATTTATTTGAAACGTAATCGATGCCAAAATATCTTATTAGTACTATTAGTATTTATTTTGGGATTGCTAGAAAATAATCTAAATTTTTGATACGAGATGTGTAATTACAAAATGTAATATTTCGCCTAATCATTCTGTATATGTTAATCAGTTAATTTTATTTCTCAATATGTACAAACCGAGCTTAATTCGCTCAACAATAATAATCAAATGAAGAATTTGTCCCAGTTTACATGAGAAGGGACTGTGCCCAATACATCCATAGCATTACCGCGCATAATCTCCAAACTTAAACGTTGAAACAAAAAACAAGTCGAGCGACTCTCGCCCGTTTTCAAAAACAGTTTCTTACCAATCTCCTTTAATGTATGTCAATTATGTGTACAAGTATAGCGGTTTATTCACTTGCTACGGCACTGCTTAAGCCACTGTTCTACCAAATGTGTGCGTTTTCTAATCGGCGTTGCATCGTTTCTTGCTCGAATTTTCCGTTAAATACGTGTAATTATAATCATTTTGCTTTAATTATACTTTGTTTATCGGACGGAACGTTTCCCTGGTTAAGAAAATGCATAGATACACCGAAGGTAAATTTACTTTACATCATTTTCATTACAATAAATTACCAATAATTTGCTGATAATTGTATTAAATACAGCAGCACAATAAGGAATATTTCAAATATCACCAAATGCGCATTGAGTGGCAAAAATCGACCAGTACAAAAAAAAAGACATCCGGCTGCACTTTTCCCATGCATCCTGCCAGTGATTGATTTTCAGTGGAGTTTCCCCACTAACCAGTGCGTAAAAAGCACACCTTTCCCCTGCAAGAAAACCACAGGCGATTACATAACGCTGCGCAAAACATCCAGCTGTGCGTATAATAAACATCACACAGAACTTCGATTAGCAATAAAATATTCGTATAAAAAAGGATTTTCGATACTGCGTCAAAACAACGTTCCAAATCGTCGTTTACCTTGATGGGAATCTCGCCGCGCTCTGTACAGGTGAAGCCGCCGATCAGGTCGAGAAGGCGTCGCGTCTCCGGACCGATTTGTATCCGCATCGCTGCCAATTTAACGATTAATCAGATTTTTATTTTTTTTTCTTGTGTAATACGTATCGAAATTCAATTGTGCCGGCTTACGCTCGCTACTGGATTCCATACGCGATGCGGTGTTGACCGTATCCCCAAATCTATACGTTGAGTAATAATCTTTTTTATTATAAGGTCATAATATTTCATTATCGGACATCCGTCTCGCTTACAGGCAATAACGCGGCATCTTTTTCCCGACAATACCGGCAACGCAGGGACCTAGTTAACATTCGACACATTTTCGAAAAGCTGCATTTATACTTGTTAATATTGCTGTTATTGAAAAGCAGGTTAATTAAATTACAAATATCTTGGCAATTTAAAAAATTAAATAAGTCGCTAACCCGAATTGATGCCCACGCGAATCTGTACATTCTCCGACGGCAAGTGCGGCACCACAAACTTGGCAATACCGGCCACCACCTCCAACGCCATCCCGCAGATCTGGCTGACGTGCTTGTTACCGTTACGAATTGGCAAGCCTGATGCCACCTAGGTATGAGGGAATAAAAAGAGTTGGCGGGTTACGAAGAAGATAAATTGTGATAATAAGATGCTAGTGTTAATAGGAAGTTTGCTGCTGATAACACAGGGTTGACAATTATTAACCGGAAGGGCAAGAACAGAAACACGTATTTTTTACAACAGTTATTTTTGGTACAATAAGGTAAACGTACCATGTAGGCATCGCCGATAGTCTCCACCTTGTAGACATCGTGCCGCATCAGCACCTCATCGAAGAAGGTGTAGAGTTTATTGAGCAGTTCGATGACGTCGAGCGGGGTGCCCTTGGAGGAGATGGTGGTGAAGCCGACAATGTCGCTGAAGAACACCGTCACGCTGTCGAAGGCTTCCGGCTCCACGGTCAGGCCCTTCGTCAGAGCCGCCGCTACCGGTCTACAAAGTACAATATTTAATACACTGCGCAAGTCATCGTTCTTAGTAGGAAGAATATTTTTGTTTCGATTGTTAACTGAACCAGGATAATATTTCTAAAGGTACATACGTCACATTACTACAAAATACAGATGTATATTCTTCTGTCACGGAAACACCACTAGATATTGGCTATATATACTGCTTTACGCATAACGTAAGTATCCAGAATATGAGATTATAAAGGCAGCATATTATTGTGCCGTATTTATGGAAAGTCTGACTACCGGTGATAATTCTGCGAGTCAAATGCTGATTACTTACATATTTGAAAAATAATACTATTAATTATTCTGAAGTGGCGAAAAAAACATACTTTGGAAGCAGTTCGCCCAGCAGCTGCTCGGACCGCATCTTCTCATCCATAAACTGCTGCGTCTGCTCGGCCACCTTCTGCTCCAAATCACTGGCGTACTGCTCCATCCGCTTAAACAGCGAATCAATGACGTTATCCCCGATGTTGCCCATGATCTTCAGCAGACGCTCTTTGACTTTTTGGAAGGTCGGCCGCTCTAACGGCACCTCCTCCCAACAGCGCTCCATCAGGTCGTACAACTCGTTGGAGCAGGACGACCGGGGAACGCGCGGACGGACCGGGGGAATATTAGCGGCGATGACCTTTTTAGTTAAAAATCACCTAATAAACATTCAGTTCTTAAATGTTCAAATAAAAAGCGAATCTACTTCTAAGACGATTTCCCGAGGGGAAAGGTCCAGTGGGTCATCGGGAAGCTCAAAGGGGGCGCTGCGGAGGATGATCTGCTGGAGGATGATGGCAAAACTGTATACGTCGCCTTTCTATAAAGGTTGGATAGTGTAATTTCGAATGATCACATTGTGGCGTGATTTTCGCTGCTCACTTGTGTGCCTTTGACCGGCATCACTTGGCGCAGTAATTCGGGGCGCGCCACATCAGCGCCTCCCAGTCCCGCTCGTAATCGTTGGCTTTGGGCGGGATGAGATCCTCCTTCTTGCGGAAGAACGCCAGACCGTAATCGGCGATTTTCAGCGTGAAACGATTATCCAGCTGGCACGTATTGGAGCTGAGATTGCCGTGTGAGGCGATGGGTGGAGTGCAGGTAGGTCATTCCCTAGAGAGATGGGTGAGGGTATTTATGAAGTTTTGACTTCATAACCGATTCATCAATAATCAATAAAATATTAGTACCGAAGCGGGTAGTGATCATCGTTTTACAGCTTGAAGCTAGAATTATTTATGCGCGGTAACGTCTGCCTCCACATTATGCTTATACACTCCCAATGAGAATGGAATAAATTATTATACATTATGGAAATTTTATTTCATGCGTTTTATATTTTAACTTAATAATTTACTGTGATAAATGATGCTGCGCCTTACCGACACTAAATCCCGGATAATGAGATTTTAAAGAACCAGTCCAGTTTAATTACGGGACTTTCCAGGACATTCGTCAACGTCCCTTTGAGCAAATTTCCCCGACGACGTACTGGCACACATTATCGGGGCTGAGCGCCACGCCGATAAAGTGCTGAAGATTGGCGTTGTCCGTCTTTTGATCTGTAGATCTTCCAGTTATTAACCCCGTTCAAAAGTAACGCGCCATACAGGTTTACCAGTTTCAACTCGTCGGTCAACTCGCGGTTGGGCGTCAACTTGCGATCCGTTACGTCGATCAGTCCGACCATGGTGCCGTTGTACAGGGCGAAAAGGTCGCACATGTAGGCTGAATAGTGAGTTGACTGTTTGCTGGCGCCGGTGTTCTGGCTTCTCTACAACCGTACAAAAAACGGTCGACTACAAAAAGCGCTATGTATGTGCAACTAACTAAAAAATCTTTCCTAAAATTATTTTATTTTTTACAAAATTTGAAAATTGATGCTACGGTGATTGATTTACCAGGGTTTTCTTGGAGCTACTGGCCGCTCGCGGACTCTTAATATCCAGCTCCTCCACCATGATCTTCCACCAGTTGGGATTAAAATCCAACCGTGATTGCCTGTATATAATCATTCCATATAGAATAATAAACGTTCAGCTTTGATGCCGATAATATTACTGTGTAGTATTTTGTATACCAGAACTGGAGAAAGACGTAGGCGCCCACGGATACCAGAACGGCAAGGAAGATGAGCGGCAATCCGACCACCAGGCCGATGGTCGTTGGGGATAGTCCCGTCTGCAGGCACTTGTCGTTGCGGAAGCCACACACCGGCTCATCCGGTGGCAGTTCATCGCGGTTGGCGCGATTGGGCCAGGAGTAGTTGTACAGGCGCCGGTATGTCACGTTGCTGTGCGGTCGAAATTGCAGGACCACCTGCAACATTCAAACGTTGGCTATAGGATACCGCGCTCGCTATACGAGAGCGCCAATCACTACAACTTTTCTTTCTTCAGTATTTTCCGTGCACATTTGTACTGCATATCCTACTGATATCAAAATCCCAACATGACAGGACAATAATTAATTGTCACCGTGTTATCTTCTTTTCCTACTTCATACTTCAAAGTTTGAATTTAACAGGTTTAGTTACCGCCATCTACATATAAACAGTATTTAAGAGTATTTAAACAAATATACGTAGTACTCTTCCAGAGGTATTTTCAGGTATTTTGTATTACTTTATTTGAGGTATTTTGTAAGACAGACTACTGCCGAAAATTTCACGGTGCATTTGTGCTTGACCTGTTTTTATGAACTCGTTTAAGCAATGTAGTTATTTAACGTATTTTGACAGGCACAGGTGAGCGCCTGTAACAGTAAAAAAAACAACAGAAAATTGCATACTCGCTCTCATTTCTTAGTAATAATTTT